GTGTACGGGATCTGGGCATCGTCTATGAATGGCCCAGACCCCACCATCTCACGATTGTATGTGTGTGGAGTGATGCTATGTGAGTCAGTCCGTTTATCAGACTTCCGCTGCATATATGCTCATCCTACATTGGTTGATCTTTGGTTCTGCCCATACTCATTGAAGTATGCAACATCCGGCCTCTCTCATTTTCTGTGTCTGTACGCCTCTCTCCATCCTCCACCCCTTTTCCACACCCTTCCCATCTCTCTCTTCACTTGGTTCTCCTCCGTGATGTGGCCCCCCGGCCTTCCTCTGTGTGCCTATTCCTATTGAGTGATGGAAATGATCAGGTTTGGTGATTATCACTGCGACTCGCCGATGGCTCTGCTTGATGCACTACTCAAATATGTTACAATACCAGGAAACCTGCCTCCTTTGGACTTCATTGTCTTCACAGGGGATACACCACCACACTCAGTTTGGAAAGGTATTGTGTGAATAGCCCTTCTGCAGTCCCTCTCGAATATTTTCTACCTGGGGAAAGTGCATCCTCTCCCTGCCCACTCTGCATTGCTTTGTTATTCACTCTTCCTCCTCTTTTCTCTTTCCCTTAAGGTGACTCTATCTCTTGCCATCCCCATTGCTAGTCATTTATCGGCCTCCATGGCCCCGTTTTGGGCAGTCAAATCATGCCAATTTTTAATTACTTGGTTGGAATTGGTTCGTTATAAGACATTGCAGCCTTTGATGCATAGCCGGCAAAGATTTCTAGGCATCTCAGTGATGACAAAGGGGGTAGATGGTAATATCGCACAAATCTTTTAGCTGGAGGCGTCAACGAATTATAGCATGGCAAAGTCGTACACATCTTCTATGAATCCTGGTAATCAATCCCTCCATCTTCTCTATGGTTTGGCTGTTAGCGTCACTATGGGAACTGCCCAAGCAGTCCACAACCGAGTTGCAAAGGAAGGTGGAAGCTAGCGTTTGGACAGTGGACGCAGCAAGAGCTTGTTTTGTAACCAAAGTAGCCAGGAAATACGTCGCTAGACTGGCCAGAAACAGGGGCTTCAGTCTAGTAGATTCAGCTATTGAATGAACAAAATGGCTTATAAGATGGCTCTTCAACTCAGAGCTACCATGGCCTGATGTGGCACTGCACTGGGCTAGGAACCTTGTTTCCTCTTAGGTGGACCAAGAAGTCACAGGCTGCCATTGGCTAATGAATAGGCCTCTGGCACTGGGAGCAAAAATGGGCAGGCGAGGAGGAAAGACCAGACAGGAAGTTAGAGACCCACCAAGAAAACACGGTGGCACTAATCTCCCTATGGAGAGAGGTGAGAAAACCAATGTGAGAGTAGGAAGTACTAAGACAGCCACTCTTTGGAAAGTCGTTACTGACTGATCAGGACGATCAGCCATGGTCCCTAACTAGCAAACGAGAAGGTGGATGGAAAGAGGAATTCGTAGAATTGAACACATATGGGAGATGAACCACCGGTGTCTCCCTTGACATGTAGAACTTCCCACCGTTCTCTTTAGGGTGGTAGCAGTTTTTGAGGAATTACTTCTTGATGCACTTCTCATTAGACTTCACCCATACCGGTCGTCAACTACAAACTGATGTCTGGAGGCTTCCGCCTGCAGCGTCCTGGGTGGCTTCCACGGTTGGATGGTCACCACTGCCCCTTTACATTTTAGGGATTCCAACGACAGCAGGAACCTTGCATAGGTCAACGCAAAGGATCATTACTGTGAACTTTCACCGTTTGTGGTATGAGACCTCTGGCCCTGCACCTGGCACACTCTCCAACGCCCTTACAATCTCCTTTCAAGGATAGGTCATGATTCTTGCTCATGAAGTTAATCAGCACTGCGCGCTTTCCGTACAGTTCGTTCAGTGATGGGATATCCTGTTCCGGCTACTTCCACACGTCTGCTTCTTCCTCCTTCCCTCCCGGAGCCTCGATTATTTGCTTGGTAATTTAAACCGGGGCTGTGATTTTGGTCTTTTCCATGAGGAAGTCCATCGCGCATTGACCCAACGCCTTGGGCCCTGACAAGCTGAGCCCCATTGAGGATGCTGCCTGAGCTGTTGAGTTCGTTGATGCTTCCCTTATGATTCAGCTGGTTTGTTGTAAGCCTCCCGTTCCTTTTTGTCAATTGCTTTCTTTGCTGCTGACGTGTATGACTGAGCCATGGCTGGTTTGGACTTGGCCGTCCGAAGGTCAATAACGATGGTTCCCTGGTTGCCGCTGCTCCTTCTTTGACTCCTTGTCCCTCCTCCCTTTCTCCTTGACCCTTCTCCCCCTGAATCTTCTTTTTGATTTCCTTCTCTTTTCTTTTCGGCCCCCTTTTGTTCGCCCCCGATACTGGAGTCGTCCTCTCTCTAAGAAACAATCTCCTTTAGCGCCGATATTCCGCTGTATCACCTCCAATTGTTCTTCCCCCACGTGTACTGGAGTCGTCCTCTTCAAATTCCCTTCTCTTCTGCGCTAGCTCTAGTATCAGGAGGGATCTCTAATGAGGGTCTGCAGTTTGCAGTTTGGCTCGGAATGCCTCTTAACTTCTCCTCAGTTTCATCGACCGACCCTCCTTGAGGAATTGTCAGTCATTCAAGGGCCTAGTCCTGCTGTAGCTGGCTGCTTTCCCCTTTTTCATGCTGTCTCCCCTTGTTCCTTGTTCATCTTCTTCCTCGAGAGCCTCAACCTCTTCTTCCTCTACAATCTTCCTTGTTTCCTCCTCCATCTCCTTCAACATCCTTTCTTCTATTTTCTTCTGCTCCTCCTCTTGCTTCTTTTTCTCTTCTTCCATTTTCTTTTTCATCTCCTCCTCCTCCTTTCTCAATATTTCCGTCTTCCTTTCCTTCTGTTCCGTCAACTTTGTGTCAATTGTGGCTTCCTCCTTCGGGGTATATGGTTGCATGGACTTACCGGACCTAGACACCATGCCCAATCCGAAGGCACGGTGGAAGCCCAAGGTGAAAAGCATGCGAAGAAAGGACCCCCATATCACGCCGAGGGCCAAGAAGCCGTAAATAGGGTAGTCGTCCATGGTGGGACCTGGGCACAGTGGGTAGACTCCGCCTACGTAACCCTCAAGACAGCCTAATCCTAACCTAGATTGGGGTCTACAACTCTACTTCCCTTCCCCCACGCCAGTCACTACACTCCCGTGGAGAGCTGATGGCCAACCAGCTCTTTAAGGTCTGCCAGCAAGGACCTCAAGAATGATTTTACGACGCAAACGGGACGTCGTGGCCATCAGATGCAGGTTCGTTCTCAAGACTTAAAGCCCCTCACTGCGTCAGCGCCGATTCGGTTGCGTGCCAGTCAGTACTGGTCTTAGGGCTAGACGGGTTGTTTTATGAGCGCCGACCACTCGTGTCCATGCTCCCTGCTTCCGGGTAATGCATCCAGCTGCCGAGCATCTACCTATCAACCTACTCCCTTCACTGCGCCAGCTCCGGTTCAGGTCCGTGCCGGTCAGTGCCGCTCATTGGGCTAGCTGGGTTGTTTTATGAGTGCCCACCGCTCATGCCCACATCCCCTACTTTACGGGTGATTCATCCAGTTAATGGGTTCAGTCAACATGCATCCTCAACACGTAGGACAAGACTCCAAGACTCACAGCAGCAAAAGTCAAGTGCGACCAGATTAACATCAACAAAAATGACTGATTGCAGCAGAGGTCTCCAGGAAACTTAAAGGAAGATACCGAAACAAGACAAAAATGAATTGCATAAAAGATGAGGGCCAGGGCAAGAAGCACTTCACTAGGCTTGATGTCGTCCGCTTGATGATGCTCCTCGCTCGTAGGTACGTTTGCCGCTCGCCCCTTCTAGGCCACTTCCACTTCGGCCCTCAGTCCACTCAACCCCGATGTATATCTCTCTGTCTTTTTTTTTTTTTTTTTTTTTTTTACTGCCCGCCTGCCTTATTCCTTGCCAGTGCTGCTTCTTCGAGCGGATGTAGTGGGATCCAGCTTTGATACCAGTGCAGCGACTCGCAAGTCAATCACCCATAACCTCGCACATACATGCAACGAGCATTCACATGAGAATCCTCAATGAAATCCCGAAGCTGAGACACAAGAGTTGCATGAAGGATTGACGTCAAATTATTACTATTATACAAAGAAAGTGTTCGAGTCTCCTGTGGTGTTCGCCACTCACACAACTGCCACACACGAAATCTCTCTCTTTCCCTCTCTTCTTCCCCCTGGATCGTGCCCTGGATACACCCGCTCAGATCAGACTAGGACCTTGGCGGCTATTTCCGCACTCCTTCCCTATCGCTACCCTAGCTATGGCTGACGTCGGCACTCCCTTCTTCTTCTTCGAGCGTAGACTTGCCCAAGTCGCTTGGTCACACAAGCAGCAGCAGTGCTTCTGCAACTTCACGAATGAACAACTGATGAGCCGCTGCACTGTAGCAGCTAAATATAGAACTTTCCGTGGCTTGGCCTGCTTCGGACCGGTGCCGTTCAGCAACAGCCTGTCTGCTGCAATCATTTTGTCGGTCCGGTAGTTTCCGGACTTTCCTGGGACTTCCTGCAATTTTTGTGGACTTGGGACTGGACTGGACCAACCTTGGACTTGGACCTTTCTGTCTGGTACCGGAATATTCTACAAGGACTAGACCTGTCCGAATTTTGGCTCGACTTAGACCTACGACGCTTCAAACTGGCCTATCGGACCTGCCCTACTGGGACAGTGGGACTTAGGACAGTGGTGCCGGGCCTTGGGTGTCTGCAGCGTGAAATCCTTTCAGATTCTCAACTGTATTGTGCTATTCTTGTGTTGTGGGGTTGTCTGCAGCGTGAAATCCTTTCAGTCGTCTCATTCTCAACTGTATTGTGCTATTCTTGTGTTGTGGAGTTGGGCACTGCATGAATGGGTATATGTGAGCTCTTCTATGGAAGGGAGTGGCCATTTCCTTGAAGCCCCAGTGGGACCAAAAGATTCTTTTGGACTTCTACATTGATGCATGTTCTTGTAAGGAGTTTGAACTATCTCAAGGATGTGCAAGTATGTTGGAATTTTGAGTTGCCTGCCATGATCCTGTCCAAAACTCGAACGTGAGACAGTGCAATACATCACGACTCAAATAGAAAAAGAATGAGTTCAGGAGAGAGGACAATGAGGGAAAGTTAAAGGAAGAAGAAGAACACAAGCGGGAACCAACGACGTCTCCCTCCTTCACTCACCATCACCACCTCCCTCTCATCATCTTGTCCACCTCTTTATTAATAAAGAATTACTGTTCGATTAGAATAATAATGAATGAATGCACAAGAACCAATGTCTGAATGATCCCCCTTACTGCCAGTGTAGAAGTGCTCTCCTCTAGGTTACTCCCCCTCTTCTTTACACTTGGTATGGCTACGAGCTATGGCGAATCATCCATGCTTAGCGTGGATGTTTAATGGACAACGTGACTACTGTCATGCCTCTCCTCTCTACTACTGCCATAGCTGGCCACCAGATGTGTCGATGTCTAGCCGTTACCCGATTGGGGATCTTCTTGATGCAGCGCCAACAGGAAGATGAAGGTGTAGGTCCACCATAGCCAAAGATAAGCCTCCTTGTTAGTTCCCACCTCCTTCCTCCTTCCTCCTTCCTCAAACTCTACTTATGCCCATAGCCGGGATGGAAGGTCTTTTCTCTTTACCTCCATAGCCTAGGGCTTCTCCTACCTTCCACTACCACTACTCCAGAGCCATGTGCAATCAGACTCGCTTTTTTTCTCGCTTCACATACATGCAAACAGGTGGCACACCCAACTGGCGACAAGCGCCCAACTCAAAGCTCAAAGATATGGCAACTTAGAACACAGTTCGAATACAAGCTCGCATCAGATGGCTATGGCGCACAAGCGCCCACAACTCTCAGTTCGTCGCTGTGCTCAACACACTGTTCACACACTCACAACTCTAGATCACCCTGAATATCCCACAGGCAACACTCTCGGTATACATGCGCATCCGCACGCTGCACTCGCCTACAGCTATGGTGGCTATGGCCGCAATCACTACCTACAGCTATGTCTATACTATCTCCTTCAGCCCACTTCGACTTCGGGCATGTCTGCAGACCACCTCGCACAAGTCGCCCAAGCAGCGCTTCCACATGGCTTACGCAGGAATCTGATCCCCGGCTGGACGCAGCCTCTTCATTTATACTTCTGTTCGTGGCTGGTCTGCCCTTTTCCACCGGGCCCTTGGTGCACACAGTCCCACATGGTACTTGCTGACTGGACTAGGTGAGACCGGGACTGGGTACCGCTGACTGCATGGGATGGTACCACCGACTTAGTGCAGTCGCACTGCTGACTCGGTGCAGTGGGTTTACCACTTGCCCACTTGCCTCTGGTCTGCTGTGGGTGGCCGTCGAAAGGCCACTTACGGACCTTCCGGAAGGCTGTGGACTTGGCCTTTCGAAACTGTAGCAGCTACGACCTTGACCTTTCAGGACTGTAGCAGCTACGACATTGACCCTTCAGGACTCCTACAGCTACGACCTCTACTGTAAACTTTGACCCCTACGCGACAGACCTACGGTTCAAGACCCGACGGACACACAGGTCTACGACAGACCACTACTGACTCCTAAAACACAGGTTACGGGTTCAAACACACACAGGGGTACTGTACACAGGTAGTGAGGTCTAGGGATCGAGCCCTGGGATCTACATCCGCTACTGCAAAAGGGTGAAAACCGTTTCACATGGACGCAGTCTTCCTCACCCTTAAGCTCCCTGTTCACCTCCGAGTGCTCCGCCACACGGACTCAGAAAACACAGCAGAACAGACTTAAACTCGGAATCCTCAGCAAACTTTATCGGAGAAATGCAGATTTCTCAGCCAGAAAACCGCGCAGGTCACCACATGCCTTATCATTTTGACGGCGCATTACTTAAATATGCGGTGCTGACTGGATTTTGAACTTGCAATTTCTTCTGTGAAAACGTTGGTATGTATAGCCACTTTACTGGTTTCTGGATTCGGAAAACATAAAAAAAAATCCTGGAAACATAGCATATTCCCGGGCGCTTCAGGCCTGGTTGTCACTCTGTAACTGAATCTGACAATTGTATCTTCTCTTTGATTCCACAGACTCGAGAGAATCGACAGAGGAAGTGATGAAAGTGGCCTATGGTATGCTGGCATCTGCCTTCAAGAACAGTACACCGTTGTATCCGGTGCTGGGCAATCATGCATCTGTGCCAACTGATGTGGTAGGTTGCCTCGTCTTTGACATTCTGTCAATTCACAGTTGCACGTGATGTATCAAAGCAGTGCTGCAATGCATTCACCAGTATAGGGCACTGGTCAGCTGAGTGTCTGTCAGGCGACAAAGCCGGGGTACCTGATCGATGGCAGGTGACTCAAGCATGTCCAGACCGTGTGGCCCAGGTAAGCAGGAAACCCAAGTCACGAAACATTCTTCAAGGGATGTCAGAAGGGCCATGATGCACACCCGGTCAGAGCAGCAAGGATCAACGGCTTTACTGCCCTGACAGGTCGTGGTCTTGAGGATCTGGAGTGGTGAGGGGGTTGGGTGGAGTTGGGTGGTGTGGCAATCGGTTGATCACACCTCATGAATGCCATTCTGAAAGATAATAGAGGGTCAGGTTTATCTATTTCCCGAAGATAAGGAGGTTGAGTGGATTGACAACAGAGCCACCCTGATAAAGACAGCCCCTAAACTGGTGGTTGCTACAGAATGCTCTGGGAGAAGAAGATATATGACTGCAGATCGTCCGTCAAAGACTGTGTTTCTTGCACACTATTTTTATGTTTTAAGACATTCCATTGTGATTGTCACGGGTTGTTCTCAGAGGACTTCGAACTGAGACGGAGGGATGTTGGGAAGCCCTGGGATTTGCACCCAGGACCTGCCAAAAGGTTGAGAATAGACCGGACTATATTGGGCCTAGGGTTTGCTGAACACCATCATCAGTCCTACCAGTAGACAGGCCCAATTTTTGTAGTAGCAGGTGGGTACTGCTACATCCTCACTGGTCTTTGTGTGCTGTTGCACCAGGCCTACGCGTGCCCTTTCTTTTTTGTCTGTCTATCTCATACCCATCGAAGCGAAGAACTTTCGTGACATTCGCTCGCCTAGTGCAATCCGCGATTTCTTCATTCGCCTCCCCCAGTTGATCGTTTCATCCCTCTGCCATTCCCTCCATCCCATGGCCGCCTCCATCAGTTCCGCCCACCATTCTTCTTCCGTTTGTTCCCTGGCAGGTCCCGCGTTCAGCTCTTTCAGTTTTTGTACATATTTTTCCCCCATTCTCTGGTGCGCAAGGTGGCCACTACATAGTTGTTTGACCAGGGTACTCCACAATTCCTGGTTTGCTGTCACCATATGGCTCAACAGGTTCGCTTGTGGGCAGTTGTCTATGCATTGTTCCCAGAAGCAGACGATTATCAGTCTGAATTCACCACTCTTGAACACCCATGCTGGTACCGTTTTGGGGGTGGCCTGCCTACCGGGAAAGTTGCGAGCACCGCAGAGTGGTCTGACGTAGCCCTGGGGCTTATCTGGACCCGTTCCACTGCGTCATTTAGGGCCGTCGTCGCCCATATCATGTCCAGCATCAGCAGCCTGCTTCTGCCGGATGCCGCACTGTCCCAGAAGGTAAAAGCTCTATCCTGCGGGTGCAGTGTCCGGAAAGAATCTGTGCATCCCAAAGATGTCATAGTGTCCACGAGGGCCAGCGAATCCGCGTCTCCGTGCCTCGGTGTCGCAGAGTCCAGAATCGGGTCTATCACAGAGTTGAAGTCTCCTACTATGATAATCTTCTGACAGTCCGGCACCAATGTGTAGAGGCGTTCCCACATCCTCCTCCACATACCCATTTCAGACGGGCCATACACTGTGGCGACCCCCCATATCTCTTCTCCCCACTGCAGGACTACCCATGCCCATCTTCCCGCCGAATCATAGAACCAGTCCTTGACTTCCCCTCTAAAGTGAGGGGATACCAAAATGCAGACTCCCCCTTTCGTGCCCTGCGCCGGGGCCCAAATCTGCTGCCCCTTCCAGCACAGCTTCGGCTCTGCAGTCCTTTCTTCATCAAGCTTCATCTGTTGCAAGCAAACCTCATCGATCTGTTCCGCCTTCACCTTTGCCGCGAGCTCCCTTCGTTTGGGGAGGAGCGACCGTGCGCCCAATCCTTTGACATTCCATGTCAAGACCGTCAACCGATTACATCTTCAACCTTCCGGCATTCGCCTCGTCTCTGCCCTACCTAGTGTCTTGCCATATCAAGATCTCTCCATCCTCCTGTCATTTCTAACTAACACCTCCCCAACCTATTGTATATTCGGTGGGGTGCCATGTTTCCTGTGACACCCTACAAGATAATATGATCCACCTCGGTTACCCCCCCCTTTCCCAAATCCCCGTTCCCTGCAAGAATTGCTCCCCCCCCAGTTGGTCGTTCTGTGACAGGCGTGCATTGACACTGTTGAAGATGGCGAGGGAGGTCGAATGGATGACGTGAGTGGAGTCGCCATCGGACCAAAAACCTCTGCGAAGGCGACCCATTGCAAACTTCCTATCCGCATCCTTGGCTGACCAGGCTTTGTTTTTCTTTTTTAATGGTCCAGACATTTCCGGACCTGCTTACCAGTCCAGACCATGTTAAAAGGGCCTTTACCCGATTCAGCCCTTGTAAAGGTAAAGCAGCGTGAAAGAGGTATCTCGCCAGAACTCAGGAAACGTGAAAGCAGACCAAAGGTCAGGTTCTCTGGTCAAAGGGCACTTCCTAAACTAAAGCAAAAGATCATTGCAGAAGAACATACCTGTTTGCCAGGAGATGCACGTGTCATGTCTGTTCGGATAAGGATGTGTCTGCACGTGTAGTCAGTGTGTCTGTTTGTGCAGAAAGGGAGTGTCTATTCACACAGTGAGGATGTCTGTTCAGGCAGTATGTGTGTCTGTTCGTCCAAAGTTGTACCTGTTCGAAAGTAAGTCAATCAACAGAGTCCCAGTTCGGGTCTTAGTCTAAGGGACAGTCCAGATCCAGACGTCCAAGTCCAAAATCTAGGCCGAGAGGCCTCAGCAGCAGTTGACTTCATTGGGACAGTCCTGGGACACATGCAATGCAGGGTCTGGGACAAGGGAAGGCCTGAATGAGCCAATGCAGACCCAGCGAAGAGGAGGCCAGTGCTATAAAGGAAGCAGCCAGCCTCATTCAACGCCAGATCTCCACTGGCATTCTGCGCGTGGAAGTGCTGAAGCACTTGTGCGCCAGTCAGGAGGAGCAGCGCTGGAGGATGAAGTGGCGCTATGTGAGGGAAGAAGACTGTGCGCTGGAAAGAGATGCAGCCATAGCTGCCCAGCGAGTTAGTATTAGACTTAGAGGGTTAGTAGTAGTATTCTATGAGTAGCATTCAGAGTAGATCCTTTAAGAGAGAAGAGTGTGTATGCATCATTTGAGGAAGGGACTGAGACAGAGAGTGTTCAAGCAAGACTCGGCTATGGAGAATACTTACCTGAGTTAAATATGATCTGCAGATGTGGCGCTGATGAGTAGAAGCCGCATTGATGAGTTGGATAAGAGAGATTTGTATTGTGCTGCTAAGCGCTGAACTCAGGGAACTGTGATACTCTTTGTAAATGACATATTTGATAATATAAGCTGTGCAACTCGGTACTCTTCTCACCTGTCCTTGTCTAATGTGTGAAGACTTCAGTTCATTGTGAGCTATGATGACGCATGATGTGAGTACTCTTGCGTGAGATGGTCCCCAGGACCCATGCAATGTTCAGAAGTCCAGACGTGCAGACCGGAACGGACATGCGTCCAGTCCCTGGACACAAGCTGTCCGGGTCTGGGTCCGGGTCCGGTTTCGGGTTCGGATCCGGCGTAGCCATGGGACTCATTCTATGCTTTGTAATTGTTTACAACACATGCGCGTTATGTTCGGGGGGAGACTGTAGGCAGCAGCGTAGGCATTCATACATGAGTTGGGAACTACCAATCTGTTGTTGTATTGATTGATTCAAATCAAGAAGCGGGTTTTCATTATCAAGAGACTCTAATGTTGTTTGCCTTCTTACATAGGTGTGATCTCGGCCTTGTCAACTCTGCTTCTGGTTTGGCCAAGTCATGCATGCTGCTCATTGAATTTGTGGTAGCCATAATCTGAGTTCTCACAGGCTGGTTCCTTGCACGACAAAATTCTAGGGTCAAAAGTCGCCATGAGGTCTGAAAATAGGCCTGAGAAAGTCCTTAGCCGTAGACCCAGTGCAATGAACTAATAGGTTCTAGTGGGCTGTATACTAACTAGACTAGTTTTGTTCGTTTTGTTGACCCCGGGGTTTGATCCCAGGACCTATGCCTAAGTGGGACTTTTCTAAAATGCTGCTGTCAGTGAGGCCCTACCTGGATTCCGGTGTCGAGTCCGTAGGTCGGTCTAGTCGGTCTGTCCCCTTCTGTCTACGTTCACTTAGGCCGTAGGCTGTAGATTTTTGGTCCGTCGTAGGTACGTCGGTAGGCAGTCTAGAGGTCGGGGAAACAAAAGTCGAGCCTGCGGTTGACTTCAGGTTCTTTTTTTGTATTCTCTTCACGAAGTGCTGCCGGGGGTCGCGCTCTATGCTGCTGTGCTATTTTTCCTGGCGCAGGCATCGTCATCCTGTTTGGGGTTAGCTGGCAGCCATAGCTGGGCTGAACCAGATTTTTGAAGGCAGCGCTCGGTTGTTGGCCGTGGGCGCTGTATGCACACTCTCCAGGTGTGCTGTTGGGGGTAATCCAGCTGCCAGTGAAGCAGCTTTCCGCAGATCACCTTCATCGTTGTGGTGTTTTCTTCATCCTTGGAGCTGCACTCCCCTGTTGAGTTGACATCTCATCTGCAGTTGGGTTTTTGGGTGCCGCCGAGTGTGCTGTTGGACGCAGGAGGGGATGTGGCGTTTGCAGGCTTGATTGGTTGGGCACAGGTGGCGGCCTAGCTGGAACTTGGGGGATAGAGGGAGGACGAAGAAGGCTCCCAGACAATTCGATGAAACTCTGTAAATAATTGGTTCTTGGATGTTATAACGTGGTTGGGATCCTGGGAATTTTGTGCTGCTGATTGAGTTGGGGAGAGACGGTATAATAAGAATTGAATGGAGTTCAATTCTATTAATGGTTTTGTGAGCTTCTGTTGTGTGCTCTCTTCATCTGGTTTGGTATGGATTGCTCTCTCCAAGTCTACTTGTCATTGCACGTGTATGGGAACGCGTGAATGCCTTGCTGGATTCGTTTTCAATCAGGCACAAAACGCCCAGCCCATGTGGCTGAATGCTATCCACAATTCCACATGTTACTGTAAGTACAGACTGATGAGTTCAGAACCTTCAGATCCTGATGGAATCAGATGAGTATAATAAGGTTAGGGTTTGAAGCATAGTTGCGGCGCACTGGTACGGTGCGGAGTGCGGCGTGGGGCGCTGTGCGCCATGCGCGAGAGAGTGGTGCACGTGCACGTGCGCGAAAAAAAAAAACAAAAAAAAACAGCTGTGTGTGTGTGTGTGTG